TTTGAGTTTATAAAGGCTAAGATCTTGAAATTCACAAAATGATGATCTAGATTCATTTTTAGAGAGGAATCATTTTGACCATATCTAGGGTTCAAATTGAACTTTATTTCTTTTTAGGGATTGATTATTGAGATGAAGAGAGTGTGTGCAAAACTTGAAGTCATACAAATACCACAAACGTGGTTTTCTAGAAGTTTCGTTGCATTATATTATAATACAACCGTTGCATTGGATCATTGCTTTTTTTTATATATATATATAGGGGCTCTGGCACTGTGTAAGTGTGGTCCAACAATAGGGCTCTGGCACTGTGTAAAGTGTGGTCCAATGGTAGGGCAACGACACTGTGTAAAATGCGGTCTGGCGGTTAGACATGGGCAGTTGCAAAGGCGGGTCCGGTAGTAGATGTTATTGGGCTCCGATACTATGTAAAGGGTGGTCTGGAAGTACTCAGTTTCGGTCCGTTGTTGTCTTAGGGCGGTCTGACATTCTGGCAATGTGATGGTGCGCTCCAGCAATGTCCTAATGAGTCCAAAAGTCAATATCAAATCAGGCCAAAATGATTGTTACGGGAAGGGCATTTTCGTTTAAAAAATGAAACTTTTTCTCTAGGGGGATATTTGCATAAAAGTTTGTTTTGGGAAAGAAGTGATAGAAAAAGTTAGGTTGGAGGTAAGTTGCATAAAAAATGTGGTCTTGGGATTTTTTAGAATTTTTTTTTATATTGAAATGGCATTTAGGGCATCGTGTCGAACAATTTTGTCTATATCTTCTCAATCTCTCTAAAATCTTTAGGCACAAAAAGATGTACGTGGGTATGATATGATGTGTGTGTGAGAGAGAGAAATATCTAAATTTTTAGAAAAAAGAGAGTAAGAGAAATTTAAAGAATTTTAGGTTGGACCTTCGTTGGAGAGAGAGGCATTCTCCAAAATTTTAGGAAGAACAAAATAGGGAACTTTTGAGGAAATCTAAAGAGATTTATTAGGAGAAATAGAAGATTGTGAGCATTAGTTGGAATGAGAGATATTCTCCAAAATACATAATATCTTGAGGAGATATTGATTTATGACTTAATCAATGTAGACATAAAGAAGGAAATATTTCCTAAGAAAAAGGATTAAAGCAAGAATATTTTTATTTTTTATTTTTGTAATTCAGTCTTTATCTTCCCCATTATGTTAGTGATCTCTCTCTCTTTCTCTCTATACATAGGAGATACTCTCCGCACGTATTTCTCTCTCTGTCTACATATAGCTCTTTCATATTGAACCCTAATTTGCTTTCAAGCTTATTTGAAGTTCTTCTCTCATGCTTCTCTCCTCATCACTAGGTATGTTTTTTCATGTTTCCTTTTGCCACTTTTTTAGTCTTTTATGGAAGTTCTATTGAAACACCATTTTATTCTTTTTTTCTTTTTTTTTTGGGTCAAAACTGTTTGTTCTCGAGCCTATTCAAATATCCTCTATTAAGTTTCTCTCATGCTTCACTAGATACATTATTTTCCCTTCTTTTTATCCTTTTTTTTTTTTTCTTTTTTTTTTTGTTTATACTTCATGCAATATCATACAAGTTCTTCATGCAACTTGATGCAAAGGGCTTAAATGTTTTCTCTCTTTCTTTTTTTTGACAATTCGAAGAAAATGTTTTTTTTTTTGAGGTGATATAAGAAGCCTCAAAATAAGAAAACTAGATATCATCTAATTAATTATAGAATTTTTGTTTCAAATTTTTGTTGATTTGTATTTTATTAAGCAGCATTTCTATATAACAGTCAGAATTTTTATCAATTGAATTAGAAATTTCTATGTTTTAAAAAACTATTTATGACTAATTTTAAAATTTTCTGGTTATAAAATTTGAAGTATTTCAAAGCAAATCGATTTTCTTAATTGCAAAAAGCATGTGTTACACACGTGAGAATATTATATACTAAAAAAATTGAGCACAAACTTTATAGGCCTCCATGGTTTGTGAAGAATGGATTTGGTTTGGTTCCTTTATTTGATTTCTAAAATTCCTATTCTTTCTTTAATAATGAATTTTTTGAGTTTTTAGAAAATTTATTATGTGTTTCATTATTATTTAAAATTTTTATTATGAAAATTTATTGTATTATTCTTTTACATTTTTATTGCGAAAATTTCAAATGTTTCTATGTAGCAAACTGCCTTTCTAATATTTTCAATTTTTGAATTTGTCTAATTTTTTATTTTTTTCTAAAATATTTTGGCCTTTCATAAATTTCTAAACAATCTTTTTTCTTAATTGAAAATAATATGAAATCATATTTCTTAATTTTTAATATTTCAAGAACTTATGTATCCAAGTGAAAGTTTTATGATTTGTAAAATAAGTTATGAATTTTTTATTATGTCTAAAAATTATGTTTTTTTTGTTTTTTTTTTACTTTTAAATTTCTATTTGTCTTTTTTTAAAAAAAAATTTCAGTGGTGATTCAAAGATTTTTTTTTGGGTGTAGTTCAGCAGGAGGAATGTTTTAAGGACGTTAGAAATATACAAAGAAAAATTTCTTCTCTAAATTAAATTATACTCCGGAAATAAGGTATTCCGATATCACAATTTCTTATAGTAAATTTATAAAATCTTCAAGTTACTTTATATTTATTGAAATATTTATCATGATTTTAAATTTTAGTAGTAACAAAATTTTACCATTCTTAAATTCAAGAATTTTTTGTCATGAATTTTAAAATTTTAAATAAATTTTTTTTTATTGACTACATAAATAGAAAGCTGATTTTTAAAAACTCTACATAAATAGCAAGCTGATTTTTAAAAACTTTTGTGCTTTTAAAATATGTTTTTTATGGTTTAAAATTATAACTAGGACTACATTTATTTTTGAGATTTGCATTTGTAATCTCTTTAAATTGCAGAAATAACAACTCTTTTCTTAACGTTTTTTAAAAAATGATATAAGAAATTAATGTTGCATCCCATTCATCTAACCCTTATTCTCAATGATAACTTCGTCAGTGCTCTCGAAATTAGAGTGATCAATAACTAATTTTGTCCACAAATTTAAATTAAGGTTTTTGAAATGTCTAAATAATTTTTTCTAGCATGGCTACAATAATGGTAAAGCTATTTAAAATGCTGGATGTTTAAATGCTTTAATAAATGCAATTATGTCTTATTTTCTTTTTCCAATAATTTTAAAGTAAAAATTTAATGTTGTTTTGATCTAAGTTTCATTCTTTTAAAATCCTTTATGCTTATTTTTTCATCACAAATTTATATTTGAGTACACGTAAGTCCACTAGTTTATAAGCCACACTTAATGGGACAGTGTCACAAAAATAGGACCCTATCCTGAGGGAATATAAGGTAAGTACCCCTAAAATAGAGGGCCTTTAGGAATGGATCTATTCTTATTTTTCAAATAAAAAGATTATTGGAGATAAAGACCAAGGTAGATTGTCAATTGTACGTATTTTAGGAGGAATTCTAGCCTACTAAGAAGGAATTTGTTACAAGTACCCAAAAGAAAATAGCTTTACTATTGGAAGTTGCTGAAAATAACTAAGAAGTTGTTAAATTTCAACTCATTTTGCTACTCTGTAATAGAGTTTAATATTTAAAATTACAAGTAATTCGTCATAGGTTTTTTCAACCCATTTTTCTATGCTGTAATAGAGTTTAATATTTAAAATTACAAGTAATTCGTCATAGGTTTTGCATTGCTTTAATTTATGAACAATTTTAAAAAAATTTAATATTCTTATATCTTTTGTTTTATATTGACATGCAATTCATGTAAATGTACTAATGGGAACAATATTAAAGTCCTAGGAGTACAAATAGTATATCATCTTCCTGATTTTTCATAAATTTTGATTATGAAATTTTAGTGTTATAAAGCCTCTCAAATTTGTCAAAATGTACAATTTTGCTTTTTAAGAAAAAAAAATTGTGCCATTTTAAAATAATGATTTGAAAATGAGCATATAAAACCTTCCTAAGTTTTTCAAAATTAGAAATTTTTATTTTCTAAAAAGTAATTTCTACTAACTTAAAGTTTGGGTTCTAGAATTTTGTACTACATATTTTAAATTTATTTGGAAGGAAGTGTATACATCCTTATGCATTACGACCTGTAAATTTAGTTGATTTAACAGCATCCTTTAGATTGTACCGTTGTCCATGTACAGAAGAAATTTCTCCTTATATGTAGGTTCCTTGCATAGGGACATGGCTTTTTTTTTTCTGAATTGCTTTAAGTTTTATTTTAAAATAAAATAATATAAACAGATAATTTGTATTTGTTAAATATGATTTTTTATAATTTAAAATTAGAAATTTATCCTTATAGAGTCGGAGTCCTAGTAAATAAAATTTATTTCAAATATGGTGAATCTATATTCTCATATGGTGAGGATTCCTTGAATTTTTTATTTTCTTGTAAACACAAAGAATTTGATACCTTTTATCATTTCCACATGACAAATTAAAATTATTTCAATATGATAATTTATTTCAATTTAAATTACGACATATACCAAAAGTTATAATTTGATTTGGTGGTTGTGCCTCTCATAGTGGTGGGGTAATTTAGTAAGTGCAGGATAGATTTAAATTCAGTCTTTATCTCAATTTACTTTTTTTTTGGGTGAATTCAATTTACATTTTTCCAAAGCTATAGAATTCTAAATTATTGAGACTTGTCCCAATTCTTCAGTTGCCTATATTGGGATTTCTTTTACTTCTTGTGTAGGTTAGGAATGTTATTGGATTTCTTCACAATGCTACAAAAGTTTGGATTTTTAAGAAGTCCAAAACAACCTCCGGCCCTCCACCTTTTTGTATAGAAGAATTCGAGTCTTTATCGTTAACAATTTTTGAATTCAGAAAAGCAGACTCTGCTTCCTGCTTTCCATTAGTAACATAGAGACAGAGAGAAGCCATTGATAACATGCAGATTTTGAGAAACATAAGTTAGGAAGCAGTCAATTGATGAGAAAGGGACACAGAGAAGCATGGGTTCTCTTTTTTCCTTGTTATCTGAAGAATTGATGATTAAGATCCTAGAGGAACTTCCCCTGAAGCTCTTGTGCAGATTGAGAGCCGTATACAAATCATGGGAGCGTTTGCTCACGTCGCGCTTGCTTGTCCCACATCTTTGCCGGCAACCTTTCCATCTGTTTCTGCAACACAGACATGGTTATGATGTGACTACATTATTTGGGTTTGGTCGTGTGACCACATTATTTGGGTTTGGTTTTGACCTTAGCAGAAAGGTAGCCTATGAAGAAATACAGTTTCACCATGCAGGAATAAGTTGCTTTACTTGTGGTGATGGTATTATATGCTGCCTTAAACTGTCGGAACCTGATCTACTTGCCATTGCGAACCCTCTAACTGAAGAGGACCTCTTCCCCTTACCGAAATTGGAACTCATTGTGTTGAATTTCGGTTTTCATGTCGATCCCATCACCCGGAACTTCAAGGTGTTAGCTAGGACAGGTACACATGGTTATCAATACATCAATGCCTTTTGGATCTTTGATTCATCAAAGTGGAACTGGAGGTTGCTAAAAGATCAGCTACCGGATGTTACAATGCGACACAGAGAACCACTTGTGTGAGTTGGCATGGCTTGGTATTTTTTGACATCTGAAAGCATCAGATCTTTTGTTGAATCTCAGTCTGGTAAAGAAGAATTTCTAGTATCTTTTGACATAGGAAGAGAGGAATGGGAGATTATTGATACCCCATTAAAGCTTATAGAGGAGAGGGATGTCTATTTGTCGAACAAAATCCAAGAGTGGAATGGCTGGCTTTCTTATGCAACAGTACCAGTTAAGAACTTGCAAGCATGGATATGGGTTCTAAGCGATGAGAAAAAGTGGCTGAGGGTTATGAAAACGAATTTGAAGGAATTGGGGCTCTCCAATTACATTCTTTATCCAACTCTCTGGTTAGGTGAGACTCTGGTCTTGCGTACTGAGGATACCGAGGATGAAGAATTCATCACACTCAACATAGAAACAGGGGATTTAAAAACCTTTCCTTCTTATCAGGTTCAGGAGTACGTAATGTATCAACCAACATTGTTGAGTTGGAAAAAAAAAGGAAAAGTAAAGTTGGAGCCTTAGAGGTAGAAAATTGGACCCTTTTTAATATCATCTCTTTTTCTTTTCCTTTTG